CACCTCTCATCCTCACAGGCACCCCGTCTTGCCTCTTCAGATGTCAGGTAGTTGGAATCGGATGGTACGAGGCCTTTTGGGATGGGCTCCTTTCCCGTGGTAACATGCATCTAAGCCTCCATGTCTCTTTGGGGCTTGCGAGCTCATTTCTTTTAGAGCACTGAATTCCACTGCGTGCATCTGCAGAGGAGCCTCGTGGTTGCTTCCGTTTTGGCAATTAGGAAGAGAACCGCTGTAAACATCCGCAGGTTTCTGTGTGGACAGCAGTCTTCGACTCGTCTGGGTAAATACTAAGGACTGTGATTGCTGGAGTGTATGTGAAGAGTGGATTTAGTTCCCAGGTGGCTGCCCTGACCCTCACCGTCTTGCATTCCCACCAGACAAGCGCGTTCCGGTTGCTCCGTGTTGTATCAGCACCTGGTGTGGTCAGCGTCCTGGATCTTGGCCGTTCTGTATTTCCCCGATGGCGTGTGGCGTGCAGGGGCATCTCACATGCTTAGTTGCCACCTGCCTATCTTCTTTGGTGAGGAATCTTCAATATTAAGGTCTCTGACCCATTTTGTCACTGGGTTTTCTTCTTTCCTTTTTTTTTTAATTGCCAGAGGGTGCATAAACTCACCAGAGCCAGAGACAGTGAGAGGAAGAGGGAAAAAGCACCCTCCAACGGGGCACAGTCACTCCAGCAGCTCTCCTCCATTTCAACATCCTGTCAGGGTTTGGGACACGCCACACACACACCACACACACACGCCTGGCATGTTTTTCAAGTCACCGGGGCAGAGATTTGAACCAGCCAGGCAGCCAGCCAGCCAAATGGGATCCAGCTACCTTACCCACAAGGCTACAGAGCCAAGTCTTAGGTTATTTTCTTATTGTTGAGCTTTAAGAGTTCTTTGCCTTTTTGTTGTTGTTGGTAAGACACGTGGAGAGCAGCGAGTCTGAAAGCATGTGCGTAAAACACGTGGCCTGTAGACGCATGCAGAAATGCGCTTCCGAAGCTACTCCAGCAGGGCTATGAGAAGCACCGACAGGAAAGCAGCACCCGCCTGTTGCCAGTGGCTGTCTTCCTGTTGTTGATACCCAGTACTCCATACTGCCCAGTATCGGTATCGGGCTAAAGGAAGTCACGTGCGTTTATCAGATTGTCCCCAAAAAGACCAGAGGAATTACATGGCGCCAGTCATTCTCACATCTTCCGACAACTTACGTCCCCAAACAACTGGCTGTGCATCCCGATTTCTCCTCCCTTATTCTCTTTGCATTCCACTTCCTTCTTCCCCATTCCCCTTTCCCCATTTTCTGCCCTATAAAAGAATAAACCTAAGGCTGGTTCTGGTCGCAATTTCTCCATCAGAGAAGCCATGCCCACCCGATCTGCACTTTTCTATACCTGCGTGTCTCTGTGTTTGTTACTGCGTCTATTCCTAATCCACGGTCTTCCCTACGTAGAGAAACGTGTTCATGCCGAGCTGGTCCCGGCAGACATATTTCAACATCAAGTTTATTTGTATGAACTAGTCAATGACACAGCAAATGTGTTTTTCTCCATGTAACATGCACATGGAGCAAGGCTTTGTCCCTCCCCTGCCCAAGCAGGGGTTTGGACGCTACGCAGTCTCGCTGCCTTCGTCTAACTGGGAATAAGGTCAGTACCACTGTACCAGCTGCGGTCTCCAGGTTTGTCAGATAGACATGTGGAGCGCCTTCCCAAGTCCTGTCCACAACGACAGAGCGCTTTTATGGTACTCATGCTGAGCTCAAGAACATGATAGCTTTATGGACACTACATACTAAAAATAAAACAGTATCTCTTTATGCAACATATTGAACACCTGGCATGCCTTTTCACAGTTCGAAACTATATAAACAGAGGCCAGCAGGTGGCGTGGTGGTTGGGGGCGCTGGATTCCCACGTGGTTGACAAGTGCTTTGAGTCCAGGTCCTGTTGGCTTCCTGTCTCACTTTCCCCTTCTCTTTGTCTTTTTGGTCAAATTAAAAAAAAAATAATAAAAACAACAAATGGAATTAAATAAATAAATAATTCTTTTAAAAAAACCTATATAAACAAAAAGTTTAGACCCAACTCACAAATCTATTTTTGTATTCATTTTTATCACCTTATATATAACAATTTAACTTAATGCTCATTAACTAGTTTAACACTTTAATGTATTTTTCATACAACTGCCTCCCTACTCCATTTATTTATTTATTTATTTATTTAAGAGGTTTTTATTTTTTATTTTTAAATTCATTCATTTATTTTAATTTGAGCAGAGAGACAGAGAGAGGCAGAGAAAGTGAGAAAGCAAGCCTCCAGGTCCGGGACTCGAACCATGGTCGACCATGTGAGAATGTCCAGCACCTTAACCGCCACACCATCTGCTGGTCCCGAGAGGTTTTTGCTATAGAGCACCTGGGCTACAGAGAGACAGAAAGCAAGAAATCACCCCCTGGGGGGATGGCCGTGCCGTAATACCTTCTCCATTTTCTTCTTGGGATCTTGGGCATGCAGGCACATGCGCCCGGTATGAGTTTAAGCCACTGGGTCTGGGACTCAAACCGTGGGCAACTACATGGGAGTCCAGTGACATAGTCATTACGCCAACTGCTGGTCCCCCTACCCCATTTATTTTGACCATTGTTCTCTGCTGGCTGCAGTGAATCATGCAGCAGTGCTCAGGGAAGGTTCTTGGTTAATATACTTTTTTTTTTTTTTTTAAGAGAAATTTTTGCTATAGGGCATGTGCGCTCATTGGGATGAAAGAGACAGAGATAGAAAGTGAGAAATCAACCCTCCGGGGGGGATGGCCATGCCACAATCCCTTCTCCTCCATTCTCCCCTTGGGATCCTGGGCACGCACGCACACACACCCAGCATGACTTGAACTGTGGTCAACTATATGGGAGTCCAGCAACATAGCCATTACATTATCTGCTGGTCCCCCAGTGGATATACTTTCTTAAACCCTACATATCTGAAAATATCTTCCAATAGCTTGGCAAGGTGTACAATTCCTGACTCTAAATTATTTTCTCTTAAGACTCTGTAGATACTGTTCCACTGTCTTCTAGCATTTGGAGTTGCAAGAGAAAAAGCTGATGTCAGTCTGACTTTTGCACTTTGCAGGTAACCTTCTTCGTTCTGTCTGGATATTTGTAAAATTTTTTTTTTTTTTTTTTTAAATTTAAAAACATTACCAGGATATGTCTATTTGTTACTTTCATCAAATTTTAAAGGTACTCAGAGTTTTTCCTTTCTAGAATTAGTTCATTCTTCAACTCTAGGAAGTTTGGTTCAATAGTTCTCTCGTCCTTTCGGCTCCTTGTCTTCTGTTCCAGAGTCTAACTATGTGTAGACAGTCTCCTGGTGATCTCTTCTCTCATCCCGGTTTAGTCCCTCCCCTTTCTCTGCTCTGTGAAAACGACTCGTTTTGCATTTGCTTCAGTAATTCGATTTTGTGTCCAGTCCACTTTGCACGTGTTAACGCTCTCCATTCCGATTTGTTCCAAGCGCTCTGACATGACCTTCATCACTGAGCACAGGTGTTTAAGCTCCTGCACCACACCAGAGTCAATTCTTTCTGCATCTTTGTTCCCACCGTCCTGTTTCAAGAGGCGGCATCTCAGTTCCGTCCCTCTCTTCAGAACTGCAGTATAATCACCTTATTAGGAGCTCTTCTTAGAAACGCAGACAAGGAAGCCTCTTTGCATATTTTTGCACACCCTTTATCAGATGTCTTTTGGTAATATTCCCTCCCAGTCGACTTGTCTTACTATTGTTTTGACTATCTTTTGCAAAACAGACATGTTGCATTTTAATGGGATTCAGTTTACCAATTCTTTCACGGATCCTGCCTATGGTGTTGCATCTAATGAGCCATCGCCCGAGGTCACAGGTGCTCCCTCACGGGAGGCTCTAGGAACCTGGGTTTTCTTTCACCCCGAGCTGTCACCCACCCTGAGGAAGTGCCTGGGAGGGGGAAGGCCTGCGTCAATTCATTTATTGGCTGTGGATGTGCAGTTGTTCCAACACCGCCATTCCATTTTTAAATTTTATTATTTTTAATTTGACCAGAGAAAGTGAGAAAGCAAGCCACTAAGTCTGGGATTCAAAGTGCAGTTGGCCATGTGGGAGTCCAACACCTTTAACCACCTCAACGATTGCTGGTCCCACATTTTTATTTTTTCATGTATCAGTTATTTTTAGGTTCCTGGCAAGACATTCAGAACATCAGTTTGTGAGGATTACCTCTGTCTGTAAGGACACAGAGCAGCTCGGATTTCTGGTAAAATTCGCAAGTGCACAGCTTCCGGCGCTGCCCTGGAACCTCCCCTTTCTGTGAGTCCAAGACTGCGTCTCACTAGTAAGGCTGGTCCCTGCTCCGCTCCTCAGTGGGAGCCGAGAAGCCGAAGCCCGTGGTCCTGCAGAGCAGGGGGCAGGCGCTGCTGAAAGGAACTGAATGAACTTCCCAGAATACCCCAAATACCTTACACGGCCCCTGCAGTGAGAA